TGCAGCAGTTGTCTATGGGGCGTTCTCCGGGAATAGATGGATTAACAGCTGAGTTTTATAAACATTTCTGGGGATTATTAGGAGAGGATTTTTATGAAGTTGTACAAGAATGTTTTAAAAATAAAATACTTCCTGTTAGTTGTAGGAGGGCTGTAATTTCACTGTTACCCAAAAAAGGAGATCTGGGATTTTTAAAGAATTGGAGGCCAGTATCCTTATTATGTTTAGATTATAAAATAATTTCAAAATCTATTGCAAATAGGCTTAAAAATGTTTTAGACTTATTGATTAATAAGGATCAGACATATTGTATACCAAACCGATCAATGATGGACAATTTGTTTTTTTTAAGAGATGTGATTGATCATGGTTGTATAAATGATTCTAATTTGGGTGTCCTGTCAATAGACCAGGAAAAAGCATTTGACAGGGTAGACCATGATTATCTTTTTAAAGTGTTAAATGGCTTTGGAATCGGTGATAACTTCATTTCTTATGTTAAATTGTTATACTCTGATGTATCAGTTCTAATTAAGGTGGGTGGAGGAATAAGTGCCCCAGTTGCAGTCACTAGAGGTATTAGGCAGGGTTGTCCTCTTTCTGGGCAATTATATAGTCTTGTAATTGAACCTCTGTTGTGTAAATTAAGGAGAGAACTGGCTGGTTTTTCAATCACAGGTGTAAAGGAAACCTTTAAGGTGTATTTGTCTGCTTATGCCGATGATGTAACCGTTTGTATTTCGGGACAAAATGATGTATCAGTTTTGGAAACAAGCATCAGGCAATATGAGATGGCTTCCTCTGCCAGAGTTAACTGGGAGAAAAGCGAGGGGTTTATTACTGGCCGGTGGAGAAACACCGGACCTCCGAAACTTCCAGGAGGACTGATTTGGAGGAGGGAGGGTATAAAAGTGTTAGGTGTTTTTCTAGGAAAGGAAAGTTTTAAAATGAAGAATTGGGAGGGAGTGCTGGAGAAGGTGGTAGCTCGATTGTCGAAATGGAAATGGCTATTACCACAATTGTCCTATAGAGGAAGAGTTCTGGTGGCAAACAATCTGGCAGCTTCCACGCTCTGGCACAAACTCATTGTTCTGGAACCACCAAGTGAACTGATTTGTAATATACAGAGGAAAATAGTGGACTTTTTCTGGAGTGGCGAACATTGGACTCGGGCTGCGGTGCTTTACTTACCGGTACATGAAGGAGGTCAAGGTCTGGTGGATGTAAAGAGTCGAATTGTTGCTTTCAGGCTGCAAGCGGTGCAGAAATTTCTATACCAAGAGGAATTAGCATGGACACAGACGGCATGTGCTTTTCTGCAGAAGGTTGAAAGTTTTGGACTAGACAAACACTTGTTTCTATTGAAAATGGACGGGCTGAAACTGGACAGTCTCTCTTCTTTTTACAAATCAATGTTGCAAGTTTGGAATAAAGTTCTGAAAGTGGAGAGAAACTTGAATGAGCTTGGGGACTGGATGTATGAGGAACCACTGTTCAATAATCCGTTGATTCAGACCCGGTTTTTATCATCAATGAGCATTCGGAGAACTCTTGTAAAGAATGGAGTCACTAAACTGGGACATTTATTGGACAATGGCAGATGGAGTTCAGTGGCCACTTTTAAAGAGCTATCTGGTCTGTGCTCGATAAGAATTGTTTCAAAATTAAGAGATGAGATTTTTGCTGCTTTGCCGAGCAGTTACAGAAACCTTGTTGCTGGGGGACATGTACAACAGCGGAAAGGAGGGTTTCCAAAGTTGAAAATATTTCCTGCTGTCAGTGAAGGACAAGAAGAGCGGGAAGGATCTATACTGACTTTTAAAACTCCGCAGCTGGAAGAGCTTGAGGTTGCATCAAAGAAAGCAATGCTGTATGTTACAGTGAAAGTCATTCACATGGACTCACTCAGCCGGCAGGGTTTCGCAAAGTGGACAGAGACAATGGAGCCAGACTTCATGGTGAGGGACAGGTGGAGAGTCCTGTATAAGCCTCCCATCGAGAAGCGGACAGCTGATCTGCAGTGGAGGCTTATTCACAGGGCGATAGCTACAAACAGACACGTAGCACACCTAAATCCAGCAGTGGGGGGGTGTTGTAGTTTCTGTAGTGCTGAAGAAACGATAGAGCATTTGTTCTTACAATGTTTGAGGCTTGGAGGTCTTCTTGACTTGCTTGATTCTTGGTTTCAGGGGATTGGTGAGGAGTTTTCCCATAAAGTTTTTATTGGGGGACTTAAATACAAAGTGCTCGATAGAGGTAAACTGTGTTTATTAAATTACCTCATTGGTACAGCAAAGCTTGCAATATGGAAAACAAGAAAAAACAAAGAGTTGAAAGTTGGTTCAACAAATGTAGAAATGATGTTGAAGTGTATGGTAAAAGGAAGGATAAAAATAGAATTTTCATATTATAAGCTGATCAATGATGTTGAAAGGTTTTTAAGAATATGGGGTATAAATGAGGTTTTGTGTGTTTTTGATGATGCAGATTTACTTTTTACTTTTTAGTATATGTTTTAAATTATTTGTTGTTGAGGAAAAAGGATACAGGTAACAATGGTGTTGTAAAATCCTGAATTTAATGTAACAATAAAGATCTGTTCAACCTCTCTCTCTCTCTCTCTCTCTCTCTCTCTCTCTCTCTCTCTCTGCTAATGTAGGTTAAGCTGCTGTGTTATGACAGATGAAGGTTGTTCTGATGTGACTTCAGCTCTGAAATCAAACCCGTCACACCTGAGAGAGCTGGACCTGAGCAAGAATAAACTAGGAGACTCTGGAGTGAAAAACCTCAGTGATCTACTGATGAACCCACAATTCAAGCTGGAGAAACTACAGTTAGTGTCATTATACTGTACAGCAATTACAGCAGTGGCGGGCCGTGTATTTTCACACCTAGACCATCTGTCCTACCTGAATTAATAACTTTTAATAGTGTATCAGTGTAAAGACTCTCTATAATTGTTTTTATTTTGCACCGGCAGTTATTGGGTTATGCGGTGAGTTCGGGAGAGGCCGGTAGAGAGAAACGAGCGCGTGAGTTCGGCTGGTGCGTTTGTAAAGTGGTTCTTGCGTTACGAATCCGATTATAAGTTCAGAAACGGAGCCTCACTTATCTTGTCGTTCAAGGGTTACAATAGTCCCTTTTCAGACGTTACAATAGTATGAATGTTTGAAAAAAAATAAGTTTCGATCATAAATTTATACAAAAAATTAAGAAGAAAATCATATTCACCACGGGGGAAAAGCATATACTCACCAAAACTACAGATTATTTTTTTGCACAAAATCCATCCTTATTTCTTTCCTCAAGAAGACTTCAATTACTGTCGTACAGGTTTTAAGTGCGTTTCAGTTCCAATAATGTCGCGTCTGTCTCGTCTTATTTCTAGCATAAGTTTTAATTTGCTTTATGGCTGAGAGTGCCTGTTCGACAGAAGCACACACACACAGTCACCGCAAAACATGACGATGTGTACAGCTGCCCCATGCTCTCACACAGAGTTTTGACCGAAATCAACGAGATCAGCGGGACTTTTGCCTTCAAAATCATTCGTTCCATAACTTACATTAGTCAGTTCTGTTTTAACCCGGAGAGATCGAATAGAGTCCCCAGATAGATAACTGACATTGAATCAACGTGGAAATATGACATCGAAACAACGTTGATCTGACATTGTTTTGCTCATCGAATTGACGTTGAACCAACGTCAGACGCGTCATTCTTCCAAAACTAACGGAAAATCAACTTGAAATCAACGCGTTGTTTCAACGTTATGAAAGCAAACCAATTTTCGATTTTCATTTAGCTTTGAAGAATGCCGCGTCTGACGTTGGTTCAACGTTAATTCGATGAGCAAATCAACGTTGTTTCAATGTCATGAGAGACGTCGTTTCCACGTTGATTCAATGTCAGTTTGCTGTCTGGGTCCCGTTACTCTGCGTTTTGCTCAGGCTGAATAAGGGATTTTTTCTGCTGGGGGTCGAGGAGGGAAAGAAACATTAATTTGTGGGTTGAAATCTATTACATCTACAGGAATATATTTTAGTTTATGAAGTTTGCTACAGATGCGGATACTACCAGTAATAGTACGCGCATCCAATCAAAGAAAGAGAAAATACAGATGTTATTATTCTTCGCCTGCTAGATGGCCCCGCTGCAGTCAAAGTGAAATCTGATTGGCTGATTAAATCTGACGGATTATCTGATTGGTTAAAGAAACAGTTTCATTGCCTTTCATTTTAAGCTACAGGCGCCTGCACTGTCGCTTCTGAAGGCCTCCAGGCAGATTTATTTGACCCGGCAACACATGATGGCTGAAATATGATTGGATACAATCTCTAACATAAAAACACAATACTGGAAGCAGCGCAACCAAGAGAAAAGCTATGAAATTAAGAGAATGAACTATTGGGAATAATTTAATATTCATGCAAAAAATATATTAAAGTGCAAGTCAGTGATTCTGATAGTGTTCAGAGAAGGCCTTGCTGGCCCTGACGGCCCACCACTGAATTACAGTGTGACTGAAGTTTATTTATTTGAAGACAGCAGGGCTTATGTTTCATTGGTTATAGCAGTGCACTTTATGGGTTTACCTATACACATTTGTGTGCTTTTTTTCTAGTTAGCTTATACAGTGTATTGTAATTGATTTCACTGGTTTAAAATTGAATCAATTTTTTTGAGTGTGAACATTTTTCACCAAAAAAAATTGTAAATCATGTAAAACTTTTTAGAGTGTAGATAGTAATTGTTTAATTCCCAGCATCTGATACAATGCACTGATTGTGTACACACAGAAATCTGCCTTTTCAACAGATAATAAAGAAGAGAGACGTCAAATAAATAGTTAGAAATGAAAGAGAAGAAACAGTGTCTTCCAGCGCACAGAACTAGTGTGACTGGGTTTTAAAACAGACTATTGGAAATTAAATGCTGCTGTAGCTCTTCAATAAGATGATCATCATAGATGTGAACTATTGTTATTTCTCTGTCTTCAGTCTGTATAGATGCAGTATTACAGAGAAACAGAGTCTCATCCTGACTTCAGCTCTGAAATCAAACCCGTCACACCTGAGAGAGCTGGACCTGAGCTGGAATAAACTAGGAAACACAGGAGTGAAAAACCTCAGTGATCTACTGATGAACCCACAATTCAAGCTGGAGAAACTACAGTTAGTGTCATTATACTGTACAGCAATTACAGTGTGACTGAAGTTTATTTATTTGAAGACAGCAGGGCTTATGTTTCATTGGTTATAGCAGTGCACTTTCTGGTTTATTAAACTAAAAACACTTTATTTCTCAATATCTGACAGTGAGTCTGAGTCACATTATATCTGTTGTAAAATTCTTCACATTCGTGATTGTTTTGTAAGATAATCTCTCTTCCTCTGTTTGTGTCTCTCTAGTCTACAGTTCTGTGGCGTTACAGATGTTTCTTCTTTAACTTCAGTCTTTGACGAACTCAAAAGCTCTGCAGTTTTTAAAAGAGCTTGATCTGAGGCAATAAGATCGGAGACTCAAAGCAGCGGCTCAGAGATGAGCTACGAGACTCAAACTGTGTGCAGGTGAGGAAACATCACTGAGATATTAAAAGACATCTTCATTTTCCTCTGATATGTGAACAAACCTTTCAAACATTCATGAAAGGCGAAATTATCATTAAGATTTGTTGCAACAAAGGTTTGTGTGAGAACAAAATTATTTGAAGTTATTGAAATGTTGAACACAAAGGAGGAAAGAGAAGAAAAGCTCACTGTCACAGCTTTATACATCAACACCTGCTTTATGAACTGTGTCAGTAGAAGTGAATCATTTGAGTGTGAAACAGACTTGGTCAGATTGTAGGAAACGCTGCACTCCTGCTAAAATCAGTGCAGTTCCAGCTTCAGCTCACAGCGTCCAGCTCACATGAGCAATGTCTCTGTCTCTAGTGTGTTTTTACTGTGACAAGCAACACGTCACACTACTCGACACTTACTTTACTCTCAGTTATTTACTAAGAGCCTACAAACATGTTTAAACTAGAGGACAAAACGGCTTTAACTAAAGGTTTGTGTTTAACTCAAAATAACATTAGTATTTGCTCGCTGTGTTTATTCCATACGCCGTACACTCATTAGTTCTCCTTTACAGAGACTCAATAGGAGTCACACAGACACACACAGACACACATATGAAATGATTCAGGCTTTAACATCTATTATATTTAAATACACAAATATCTCTATCCAAGATCATGTAAAGTCAGTAATTAATCTGATTACAGGAATTCAATTTAACTTACTTTTACTAAAGAAAAACAGCACTTTTTTCCAGCCGAACACTGATTTTTTCTCTTCTGTTCCACTTTACAGAGT